CCTGATAACGTAGTGCAAGCTGAATCCTTGGGTTCCTTTAAATCAGAGCTAGATAAGATTTTAACAACTCTGAGCTATTAGTTAAGTTCTCCTCAAGCGACCTCGATGGGCCGAATGGCCTCCTCTCGTTTGTATATTTCTTATGTTCTTATGTTCTTATGAAAAAATCCAGATGCACAAAACTGTGCGTAAGCACAGATCTACGCAAATTCCCTTTATAAATTCCAATGAGCGTGAAATTTTACATACGTGAACGAGTACACAGCCACCCTCCCGACCCGCCCATAATTATGTATATTCACATATGTAAATCTGTATAAATACCTGCTTTGTTCTATGTTTTTCTTAAACAACAATGGATAAACCACGTAGGAAAAATAAATATTTCAGCGAGTGCGAAGTGGAGGTCATGTTAACAGAAAGTAATTTTTGGTGGTTTAAGTAGTGGCATCAGCAATAAACGAAAGTTGAACGAAAGTAGTGGCACAGCGTGGCGGAATCAGTTAAAAGTGTTGGTTTCGAAATTCGCACGATGGGCGAAATTAAAAAGAAGTGGCCGGACATTAAAGTCAACGTGAAAAAACGAGTAACCGTAAGAGTCTTAACAGCACAGGCGGAGGCAGCGGAATTCCCGGTCTCACACCCTTTAAGCAATGAGTTGCTGCGATGATTGGGGACACACTTTTATCGGGAGAGGGGGACGCCGATGTCGGCGCGGGTGAGTTTTTCTCTTACCATCACTTAACACCTCCACAGTATCAAGATACTAATTTTCCTTCCATTGTCGGTGATGTGCCTACCCAAACCTCGGTTATCCAACATGACATTAAAGTTACGTGTGATGTTCTTATTAAGCAACATCCATATCATGTTAATGTTGAGAAACGTAAGATTATGAATAAAAGGTGAAGTATTTGCTTGTTTGGCTGTGCCGAGTAATAGTTCATGGAGTTCTCCTTGCATATTAGTTAAGAAACCCGATCAGTCATATCGATGTGAATTTGCCCAGGCTACTATCACCTATTTGGGTAAATGCGTGGGTCAGGGTCAAGTGTGACCTGTTGAAGAAAAAGCGTGGGCTATCGTCCATTTTCCAGCCCCCACAACCAGGCGTGAACTACGTAGATTTCTAGAAATGGTTGGATATTACTGTGGGTTTTGTTTGATGTTGGCTCTGGAGCTGTTTTGCTACAGGAAGATGAAGATGGTGTTGATCACCCTGTGTGCTATTTTTTTCGGATGTTTTACCGACACCAAGTAAGGTATTCCACGGAATCACTGTCCACAAATCATTGTAATGGAGGGGAGGGACTTCTCATTTAAAAGTTCACCTGGGAGCTACAGTAAGAGCGCACAGATATTTTAGTGAAACTGTTATGCATGCTACTCAATGTTGTTTATGTTTGATACTTGCTGTCTTTCTTGGTGAGCTGCTACCTACTGCCCTTGCTACCTCCGAGGACCGGACAGGGAAGCTGGGGCACGCCTACACATTCCCTCACGTAGGTTGGTCCTATGTTTAGATACATTAGGTACGGGTGGGCGCCACTTCCTGTATTTAGACTAGAGCAGCCAGTTTTTTTTTTCTTACATTTGTTTTTTTAGAGTAGTGTTATACTTGTGTTTTGCCAGCTTAGCGTAGAGGTGCATTTGGTTCTTTTATGTTCTTTCCTTTAGTGCCGTCCATAGTCCGGACCGTTTACATGTTATCATTTATTAATATTATAATATGTTAAATAAAACCTGTTTACTTGTGTGACTCATCTGTCTGCATTGTGGGTGTTCACTCTTCCACTGTCAGTATAATTGTTACTGGCCATCCCCATTTGCACCAGACTGGTAACCGGGAGTACGTAACAGGTACCCGGCTATACCATACCAATGGCGTAGATTCTATGCAGAAGTATAAATCAGCCTTAAGCCACAGAGACAGTCTGGTAAATGACCAATCTCAGCCCTCAAGGCTTGGATTGCTTTTGATGTTGGGTACTGAAGAACATCTTTTGGCATCTCACCTCCCTCAGTGTAAGCGGCCGCACTAACCCTGGCCAGCCCACAGCAACAGTCACCTGGTCAGACAGCATGCATGAAGGGCAAGAGTGACTGAGAGCAAGCGAGGCAGGCGAACATCCACTCAAACACGATATCGTCAGAGCGATCATTATGCACAAGCTCAGAGCAGCTGGTACTCATGATCAAAACACCACAAGGGTGAATTAGTGTGCTCAGTTAAAGCCAAAGCATGTGCACTGTCTCAGGATAGAGAGCAAAGGGGTACCATCTCTGGGAGGTGACAGAGGTATGAGATGGGTGAGTGCCGGCAGACAGTGATCTTCCTGCCACCTTGTGCTACAGCGAGGGTGAAAACAACTAAAGAGCTATAGGCAGCCATTCAGGACACAGGAGGCGGGAAATTAGACATGACTTCAGCGGGGGGTGTCCTTATACAGTCTCTCCTTACTACTCTCTTATGTGGAACAGCTAATTAAAATTAATTAGTTTTCAGCCCTCTTCCTCCTAAAACTGATGTTTTTTTGGGCCTAAGTGGCCAGAGATGTAGAGATATTTCCATGCAGAAACACACTTATGGCTAAAACCCCACACTCCTCTTTAATGTGAATCATCGTGGTACTTCAAAGACACAAGAGTAAATTTGGTTCTAGAGGTAAGAAATCAGTTACTTCCTGAAGCAGATGCAGAAAATCTAGACAACTAATAGTAAACTGGAACAATCTAGAACATCGGTAAAATGCAGAACATTAATATTAAATTGCAATTTTCATCTATAACCAAGTTATTGGCTGAAACTACTGCCATTTAAAATTACAATTATGAGAGTAATACTTTGTTTTTTTAAAGCTTGCACCCAGTCACCTAGACTTTTTGCAGACCTTACCTTTGGGCCCCGGTATCCCAGGTTGTCCAGGAAGGCCATGAAGTCCTGGTTCACCAGGCGGTCCTCTGGGTCCTATGACACCCGGGTACCAAATGCCAGGCTGCCCCACAGCACCTGGCCTCCCCTTAGCTCCAGGAATACCAGGAAAACCTCTGTCTCCAACGACCCTAAGGCTGCGGTCACCCTGCAGTGACAGAACACAAACATGTTATCTTCTTTCATGTCATACATGGGAGCAAGCAGAAAAGTAGGTTCATCGGAGAACAAAGGTTAAATTTCTACATGGTCATATGGCCATTTGCATGATACCTCATGCAGAAGCTGGCAAGACAACAGGAAAAATTACATTAATACTAATCATCTACAGAGATGGTGAAATTTGCAGATGACACCAAGGTGGGTGGTGTAGCAGCAGATCCCAGCTACAGCGTGATCTTGATTTAATTAGTGACTGGGCCGACACCTGGCAGATGAAATTTAACAGACAAATGTAAGGTACTCCATGTAGGTCGCAGAAATATAAAGTACAGGTATTTTATGGGACCTACTGAAATAAAGGTAGCTGATTATGAGAAAGACCTTGGTGTCCATGTAGATGCTTCCATGTCTCATTCTCGCCAGTGCGGGGAAGCAATAAAAAAGGCCAATAGGATGTTGGGGTATATCTCCAGGTGTGTGGAGTTTAAGTCAAGGGAGGTAATGCTAAGATTATCTAATTCCTTGGTGAGGCCTCACC